CGGTATAATTTTGACCACTTGGCATGTTCTTGCTCTACACTCCCTTCAGAATGCCGGTGCCGCATCCAAGAATCAAACCATCCCCGAACTGAGCAGCGCGACAACAACAAACCTGATCAAAGTTAATACGGTGAAGTGCAGTAATCGTTGGCGATTATACTGCACAAAATTTTTTCATGCATTTACTAGGAGCATTATCTAGGGGTGCAACAGCCAAAATAGAATTTGGAGCAATTTTCGGAGCAGTAAAATGTTACTTTTCGAGCACTAAAATCCAAATTTGGAGCAGTTTGAGAAAGAAGGCTTCAATTTAGAAAAAAAAATATGTACAAGCCATTCAACATTCCCTAAACCATGCAGAATGAATATGAGCGCTGCTATTTCAACAAAAGTAGTATTTTCTTTAATTACCCCACTCAGGGAACAATGGTGAGGACCACATTAGAATTCACCATGCCTGTCAAATTGTTTGACAGAGTCTGAAGATTAAATGTGGATCTCTCAATATGGTGACCATGAGATTCGTAAAACTGGAAGAAAAAACCTGGCGCACAGTTCTGTTTGATTTTTTACGGCTGCGGAAATCTCATACAGTACTCCTGGAAGAAAAAACCTGGCGCACAGTTCTGTTTGATTTTTTACGGCTGCGGAAATCTCATACAGTACTCCAAATAATTTTGCCAGTAACATTTTTAGACGTCAGCTATCATTTTAGTACTCACAATTGTGCGGCGTATACGCGCATCAGTATTTCAACAAACTTTGCTGTGTCCAGAGACTACTTCTTTAAGCCCCTTCCAAGTCTTGACACACTTTTTCGAAAACCACCCGCGTACTGCAACGAAAGCGGCTTAAGCGGTGTTTTTGCACGGGTTGAACTAAAGCTGGACGCTTACAAACTCGACGTACTGCGAGTTTCTACATTTCCAGCTATAGTTCCTTATGGTTCTTAACATGCCACGGCTGCATTTGCTGACTAGGATATTCATATTTCCCGCAAAGTGTTGCTGGCTATGGCAACACATTTTTGTCTTGAAGTTGCGTCGTCCCGCTAGTAGATATCTGCTGTAATAAGCGGACCGACGGGTGTGCGATGCTGTTACTTCATCTGGTAAACTGCAATTCATGAGTGTCTTGACCTAATGAGCAACTATCTTACACCACAGTTTGGGGTTAGAGCCTGCTGGCTAGGACTGATTGATGACGCAATCTACAGGTGGCCAAAGTGGCTGCCGTTTCTCGCTCAAATTAGGACAACTGAGAAAATTTTGAGGCTAGTCGGGCATTTCGGTGCATCGTGGTGCAATTTTGGCAAATTTCATGGTTTTGGCGCAGCTCAGCGTACAGATGAGGAATGGTATCAAAATAACACAATTGGTGCAGCTGTCGCACCCCTGATCATCAATGCTATTTTCGTCATTCATCTGAAGCTTGAGTCAAGCAATCAGAAACAGCAGTACAGTGTACGATGCGAGCGCCTGTTATGTAGGCGCGCAACGATGGGCGTCGAAGAGTCCTTGCCTTGACATTACCCAGGCCCCCCACCAGGTGGTACTACTCCAATTTCTCGGGGCTAATTGCGCGCAGGCAGGTGGGCCCGCGCCCCACAAGCCAGCATTGCCACTGTTCTTGTCGCCGCGGGCACATGCGCAGATGTGCCCAGTCTCTCCAAACCAAAAATCAGCAAAGAAAACTACTTTTGCGTCGGCAGTGTCACGATTTTAGTTAGCACCACAGACACGAGGCTGTGCTGTATATGAAGGGCACTTTAGCAAATAGTTTTCCACGGTATCCATGTCATTTGCTCTTCATTTTCGACACCATGCTCGCTTACATAGTTTTCACTGCGGGCGCATGATCTGGCCCCCGAAAAAGTTCAGCTTTGTTTTTGTTGTTTTTTTTTAAATGTGAATCACCGCATCGTTACCACCAAGCGGATGTCAGATTACGCACTGATAGAAAGTCTTCGACATTACGGTGACAATAACAGATCTTCGGAGGTCGACTCGTCGCGCGCTTTTATTTTGCACCACAAGTTCGCGGGAGCGTAGCCTTTGTGATTAGCTCTTGCGACAACATGACGGCACGTTAAATGCAATGCAATGAATGCGATAGCAACAAATTGTAATGTTATACGAAGTGAGACTAGCAGCCAACACTTTCGGATCTGATATCGCGGAACTCCTACAAAACGGTGTAAGCGAATAGAGTCGCTGCAGAAAGAAATGCTCTTTTTACACAGTCTCTTGCCGAGATAGCACGCGCACCAGCGATCGTGAGCGCCTCTCTAAAATCAAAGTTCACCGTTGCTACTTGAGCGCCCGCCCCCTGCTCCCGCATTTTTTCATGCTAGTTAAACATGGGTTTCCTTTCTGTTTGAGCATTCGATTGCAGTTTAACATGTGAAGGGATGTTATCGTATGCGCCCTCTAGGCTATAGAGAGGGGTCGGCTCGTTTGATCTCTGCTTCAACAGCGCTCGCGCGCTTTTACCCGCTCCAAAAGTTACAATGTGCGAGGGCATGTTATCAATTTGGACTTGTTACTGAACAAGAGGGCGATGACAAAAACCTGCCGAGAGTGCCCATATAATTGATACCGCAATAATAACGCATTTATTACCGCCAAATAAGTCTTTTGGAATAGCTCTGCCTGCAGTTCCCCCTTTGTTTAGCTTGTGCAGTTATTTTTCGAATTATCGTACCGAACCTGCATATAACGAAATACTTTTCATAAGGAAGTTTTTTTGGGAATTTGTCAATTTCATTATATCCAAGTTTAACTGTATAGTGAACTCGCAAACAAAATGAGAATCTATTCGATATACACTCAAACCTCATTATAACGAAGCGTCTTCCACAAAAATAAGCTTGTTATATCTGAAAATTCATTATAAAAGTATATTCCCAGCCCTGTCCATTGCAAAAGTGTTCTTCATTTATTTCGTTATACCGAGGTTTGAGTGTATCATGTAATTCAATATAAATTCTTTGAAAAATTTGTTTTTTTGTGCATAAGATGACTTAATGAACAACATCAGAATAATAAAGAAAGGCGTCTTTATGGCAATACGCCTTTTTTTTAGTATTTGTTTTTCCATAGTTGTAGCCCATAGTTGTATGTAGGGGCAGGTTATACTTGGGAAAATATGAAATCGATGTAAACAGCGCCTCAATATCTTCATAAGCAGCTGTAAGTGTTAGTCAGGTGCTGGAAGCCTCTAGTCTGCACTGGCCTTATTGTTTGGTGCTGCTTTCTACATTACACTCGTTGTGCTTCTTGGGATGTTATAAGCAGTGGCAACATCAGAATTCTTTTCTCTAAGTTAGACTAAGTTAGACTGTGTTGATTATGGCCAACTTTACAGAGAATAGCCGTTTCTTTGGTGTCATGGCAGCCAGTGCATTAAGAAAAGGAGCAAAGAAACAACTGGCGATCTCACCTTGCACAAGCTGACGGGCGCAACATAAAATCATCAGGAAAAGCATTCTAATCACATCGCTCACTCTTCCAAATGCATGTGCAAAAGTTACTGTCCATAAGGAAAAGCCAAGAAGACCAACAACTGATGCACGCACGGAGGAAAGAAACATGAAGGCACTGCTGTCTTTGTGTTGCACCAACTAGCCCAGATGCAAAGCATTCGAAAAGCCAACTTCTTGGGTGTTTCACACTTCCTGATGTTCCATTAGTATCAAGTGTTGGGGCTAACTTTGTTTGATGCAGCCATACATTTTTCTGTTTTGACATTAAAGCATTGTCCTGTTAAATAATATTTTGATACAAGGGCTAATTTACCCAAGTTCGATATAGTCAGGTCTGACTGTACACAAAGTAAAGTTTGTAGTTTTATCAGTTGTACGTGTTGCCGTGAGCATTAACTAACTAATTAAATTCACAAGCATGGTATAATGCTTGTCTATTCAGCAAAATGCCTGCCCATGAGGCAAAAAACTCTTGTTGTCCCACAACAACAGATATTGAGTATCAGTTGAAGCTAGTAAGCCTTGAATCCCCTGCACCACCACTCCACATTTAGCAGGCATAGTACTCAAGGATTGAAAGGTGACATCATTTTTTTATAACAACACCTCCTTTGAGCATATCTCATCATGATAACCACATGATGTCACGGCAAACATGGCCACAAAATGTAATGTTAGCTCCAATGTAAGGTCAAAACAATACCAATATGGCACAAATTGCAGATGCTGGAAACAAAATTATGTCCATTAATTGGCCCTAAATTTTAGCACTTCAATACATGAGTACTTCACCTTGCCAATAAGCTCGTGTTGTGCGATTAGAAATTTTGGGAAGCCTGACCTCATTGAACGTCACTGTACAATACAAATTTTAAATGCCAATGAATCCTTCACAATATTTGTGCCCCAATAGAGTGTTTGTGTTCTCAAATAAAGTTGAGACTTTTTAGGACAAGCAGGCAAGTGTTCATACTCCGTTGAGGACTGGCAATGTGGCTGCAGTGCTCGCCATTTCTTTTTTCTACACTTTAAACACTCCATCTAACTTTTATAAAAACGAATCAGTAGTTCAAATATTTACCTCCTTTTATATGGTCAAATCTGCCTTTGCTTTAGCTCATCTCATGGTGTGGACAAAGTAGCTACGCCGTTGCATAATCATTTAGACAAGTTTCTTGCTTCACACATCTGAGCTGGAGGCTGCCATCTGTTAATGTCACCAACAAATATTTACACAGTGATTTTCCATGTTGGCCACAGGTTGACACCCCAAGCACACTGCTCCAGCTGTGTGCTTTCCTGCTCTAGTAATCAGTTGGTGGGCTGCTTATGCATATACTGGTTCCGAGCCAGAGAATCAGAAAACTAAGTGAGCACACCATAAGCGAATAGACAAAAGATGCCTTTTTGAACCACAAATGTAAATTCTCTAAAAATTTCACCCCATAATAACGGATTCCATGGAATACAGTCTCAGAAAGACAATAATAATATCAACAAACAAGACATTCCCTACCTGTCAGGTTAGTACCACAAAATGCTCCTAGCAGCACACTTTCATCACTGCCACGCACAGCAGAAAGCACAAAGGGCGGAACCCCTGAGTACACGTAGATATGATTTTCAGGGCAAGGAACCCTCAAGTTTGGAAGCAGTGTTAGCTCCAAGGTAGCTCCTGGTTGCCTAAGTGAGCGAAAAGATAAAAGAGAGAAAAAAACTAAATCCTCTTGCAACATAATTAAAATTTCACGTTAGCAATTTATTCTTTTGCTAAAATGCATATTTTACTACACATTAGGTGTGTGCCATCATGAAATCAAGTCTTTCTAATTAAAATAAATAAAATATAAAAGTTATATAAAAGTTATAAAAGTGCATAATTAAATGCAAATAAACTTATTTATGGCAATTGTAATCGTTATCACATATTGAAGCATGAAAAAAATCATCTTTACAAAAATAAATATGAGCTAGTAAGCAATTCTAGCTTTAGTTATTGTGGTCCTTGATAATTGAGACAACTCATCAGTTACTAGATTCACAATGTACTTTTAATACCAGATTCATCCTTCAAGAAGCATTATTCATGCTCCCAGTCAATGCACACGAAAATCTGCCATATTCAAAAAGCAGAATTAATTTGAAGGCAGCGCCCCTGAATGGCCGCTAACATGTCAGTTACAGGCCCTCGCCACCAGGGTGGCTTTAACAATACCTAACGTATCTTTATGGGCATTCCTATTCAAGAATGTCAATTGGCGTTCAGCATGATCGGCATTTGGCATTCATTGGATTTGGCTGGTTCATTGGATGTTAGCACGTCGGAAGAAAATTTACTTACTCAGATGATGATGAAGGAGCGACATCGCGAAAGCCCGCATGGCGAAACCATGCGGACTGGATCAAAGGTGACTATTCTCTAGTTTTTAGTGTTAGAGCAAAAAGATTTTTTACCTAAAAAGTATCCGATATGCCTATTTTTTATATCTGTGAGCTATGTTTAATAGAATGCATAATTTTTGTTTAATAAAATATCTTAATATTCTTTAAAGGATTTCGCTTGATATTACTTACAAACAAACCACATGTATGTAACAACAAAAATTATTTTTTTGTCCCTTTACAGTCAAGAAAAAAAATTTTAGACAAAATTTTTTCTTCAATAAAATCGTCTGAAGAATGTAATTCAGCAATAAAAAATACACATTTTGGAGTGCATTTTGCAACAAACTTCGACCCATAAAGTGTTAAAAGGTGTCACAGTGATAGTGGGAACAGAAACAACACAACAAGCACCAACTTTCAACTGAATCCTTGTTGTCACAAGCAACAGTACAAATGCAGTTAAACCCCTTTATAAGAGGCATGCTCCGGGCAGCAGTTCTTGTCTTTTATACGAAATGTCTCTTTTAAGCAGGGTACCTCGTATGCATTTTCTTATCAACCTGTATTTTACTGTAGACACAGTGGTGTCTCTTATACCCATTTGTCCCTTATATCAGTGTCTCTTATAAAAGGGTTTGACTTAGATGCGTACACAGAAGAAGGCCCAGTCAATGCAGATAAAAACCTGCCATGTTCAAACACGTGAATTCATTTGCAATCAATGCTACGTCAGTTACCGGCCCTTGCTACCAGGGTGTCTTAAACAATTTGTCACATATTTTTATGTGGATTCCAGAATGCCGATGGCATTCAGAAATCCTCAAGCTTTAATTTATGAATGCTGATAAAGATACGCAAGATTTTTGAAAGTGCCTTTGTAGTGAGTGAAGGCCAGTAATAGATGTGTCAGCTGCCGTTTGATTGCGCTGACTGCAAATTCAGTTTTTTGGATGCAGAAGGTTTTAATGTGCATTGATTGAATCTTCTTCAGTGTATACATCTATGTATATTGTAGCTTTTGATAACAAGTGTTCCGTTTCGACAGCACTTGTGTTGTGTCTTCCTTTTGTGTCTTCCTTGCCCACGCCTGACAGGACACCTGTCAAAGAACGAGGATACAGCAACAGCAGAAAATGTAGCGACAAGTGAGTGAGGCAAAAGAGGAACTAGTGTCCAATCTAATTTAAAACTGAATGCGCATCACTGCGATCAATGCTCGGAAAGGCATTACCGGAGCTCTTCTTCTTCCCTCGGCTCTGTGTTGTGTGCACGCTAATCCCCAAGCCATGGCAGGTGATAAGAGCAACTTCAACTATTTTGATATTTCAAATAGTTAGTCACTTTGAAGTCTAAATGAACATCAAATGATTCAAACAGAATACTTCAATTTTGATAACTTGAAGTTCTGAAAATTTTCATACCACTAATGAATAGTATCAATCATGAGTTCTCACTAATGTTCAGCCCGAATGTCTACAAATATTCAGTTAGTCCCAAACATTTTGTACATGCCAGATACACCATAGAACTACTGGAAATGTGGTTTTTGAATGAAATAGCAATATTAAAGGTAAGTAGTTCAAACCAAGAGTCATTATAGTGTCTGCAGCTTTGAAAAAATGCCAAATATATGTTTAAACAATACAGTACTAATAGCATTGATATATTGCATGAGATGCAAGCAAAACACTACAGCGAAATCTAGTAAACTAGAAAACTGCAAAAAATGTATCCGTTATAGTGACAAATAATTAAATTGTATGATCAGAGGAAAGATGTGGCAGCCAGTAAAAAAATGCTTAAGAAATGATTTCGTTGGTCATTAATGCAGTTCGTTGAAGGAACTGCCAGATGTGGTTGAACTGTAAATATACAAACTGACAAAACTCTGGGCAAAGTTGTACGAGTTTTAAATGGAAAATCTGCCATATATTTGAGCTCTAACACCTACCCGACAAGTATTTCAAAAAAAAATTCATGCCTACAAGGCCCCCTACTGGCAAAATGTGGCACTATATTGTTTCTAGTACAGGTGTTTCTCTGAAAACTATGAGATGATGCAACCACCTTCAACTGGAACATGGGAGGACAGCACATTACATAACTAGCAGCCATCTCAACTTTTCATTCGTGCCTGTCACGGATTACCTGCAGAACAAGGGACACCAGCGACACATGTGCTTAGCTGCTTGACTGTTGCCTAGGCTTGTGCGAATAGTGAATTATAGGTTCTAAATGAATTCGAAGCAAATAGTGATTTTGGTCGCATAATTTCAAATCGAACTCAAATAGTTTATATGCCATAAAAAGAAAAATTGGCATATTTATCATGACCTAAGTAACCTGCACAATATTTTTAAAAAATTAAGTAGGGCCTCTATACAATAGGCATTTGTTTTTTCGATTAAAAGAAGTCGAAACAACTATGAGTAATAGCAGGATTCAACTTTCAGCGGGATGCGAGTAATAACCCTTAAAATGTGCAACATTTTAAAACTTATTATACTTAGAGCATATAAGCCATAATAACAAGCTTTTAAGCTTAATGAAAGGAATCGATTTGAGCAATGAATTAACTAAAGAAGCTTACTGCCTCATGAATTCACTGCCGCAAAGCTTTTAGAATCCGTCCAGTACGGGCAGAGTTTGAAAAATTTCTCGCACGCTGCAAGTGCATTCTCTCTTCTCGTCCCGATGAAAGCACTGGAAGCTAAGCAGGGAGGGATGGCACGGGAAACAAAAATATGCCACGTATGCTTTCTGAGCTTGTGGAGTCATTTGCCGAGAAAAGAGAGCAGTTTTCAGCTGACTTTGAGAATCTATTGTGAATCCCACGCCATGTGCTGTGCTATGATATTTGGCTTTTGTGTCCTCGGTAGCCTCGGCCTCTGATCGGCAGCATTTTCTGACAATGCTCAAAAAGTGTTGCAGGGCCCCTTTAAGTTTGTAGGAGAGCTTTGCGACAGAGCGAATTTCTCCTGAATAAATGCTTTCACGGTTTGGCACACCTACACTGCAGTCAAACCATCTTTACAAACTGTACATTCAGACAAATATGCATTTATTTGTTCCTTGTGAAATTTTCAATAATTTAAATTCGAATCAAGGCAAATTCGAATACCCTACTATTCATTCGAATATTCGAATCATTTGAATATTTGCACAAGCCTACTGTTGCCGTCTGGGGCATGCATGCACAGCCAAACTGACTTATGCTCTCCTGCGAACCCCTTTTCCTACTGCTTCAACCTGCATGCATGCGCATCTCTTCTCACTCCTCTTAGCCCTTTTTTCATAAGGGTGTAAGTGCATAATACCCACTTGCCTACAGCTGGCTGAGCGCTACAATAGCTGCCATGACCACATGCGCCATTTGCTGGTTGGTCAGTTGTGGTTGCAGACGTGCACCTTTCTTCCATTCTTTTACTCCTTTGCTCCTCCCTTCCCCATGAGCTGTGCTCCCTTATGGGCCGTGAAAGATTACTCAACCTTTGCTTTTTCTTGACAACGGACACTTCCTGAAGGCGACATATGGAAGGATGTCTCCCCAACACTGCTTCGCTGATCACAGTCTGCGGGCCATTTCCTCACATTCACAAATCCTACTGCCACTGCCCAACAAAATAGTCTGCACACACGCCTACTCCTTCTCCCTTCTCCCCAATGATACAAGCCACACGGTGTAATATCCAAAGGGGTTGTCTTTAGGGGGCAAACTATGTTTTGTTGAAACAACTTTCTGGTCCCTTCCGAATTAAAAGTATCAAAGTTCAACTGCACAAATAAACTATAGGCCGTTAGCAAAGTTTCAGAAAACCTTGTTAATCCAGAACACTGTGCTGACGTTTTTATAATAATGGAATATTACTGTATTCAGATTTACTGCCACATGTGATAGTGGCAGAGATCCCCACACATAAAGGGGCTTACATGGAGAGAGTCTTGCTTCTGTTGACTGGAGTGCTGGTGAGTATCCAGAGACAGTGATGGACCTCCACTGGACCTTCCATTTCTGGAACACCCAGACCTCCTCCATCTGGCTCCACATACACAACACGCTTGGGACTGCAGTCTATGAAGCAGCGGCCTCCATTCCTGAGAAAACCGGCAGAATGAAACGCGAGAATTCACAGCAAGCCAAAAGAACTTACAGCTGTTTTATCCAGAAAGCCATATACAGTTTCGTTCAACAGTGAATTATGGCTCGCGGGATGTAGTTTAATTTGTTTGCATGCAGAACTGAGTTACCATCAGGATCTTCTTTGGACTCCTATATAAACTGCAGCAACTTTGCTGAGTCCCACTGCCTTTGCGTGAAAGTTTGTTTGTTTATTCTACCACACTTGCTGCTCTTCTTTTTCCAAACAAAGGGTGAAGCTATTGGCTCTGTCCCAGAAAGAACAGTGGGCAACTTACAATGACTCTTTCCGGCAAATAACTGTGCTCACTCTTATGACCGTGCAAAGTACAATTTGTAGAGCACGAGCAGAGATCTCGAAGACAGGGCAAAATGCACACACACATTTTTCTTTTGTCCAACAACCCATTTGGGTACTAAAGCTTGAGTTTATTAATGGCACATTCCACCTATGGTGACCAGGTATGCAGCCTTGCCCCCTTCTGAAATCTAAGGAATTATGATCACTAACAAAGAATTCTGATCACTGCGAAAACGCATAATATAGTATTGCATTACATTGCTCCCACATTATTATGCTACCAGCATTTGTTTTATGTATTCCCCCTTGATTCATGGGCTTTGCATCCTATGAAACCTGTAACTCGGCATTTGTAAAGTAAATAAGGTTGCTGCACAATAAATCCAAATAAACCTCTTCTCCATTAATTCGTCCAATGCCCTCCTTTAACAGCATGGTATGTACTTGGTGCATTTCGAGTAATCATTACTTTGTCTTTTTTTATTTCTAGTGTGCTTGCTGCCACTGTAACAAAAAAATAAAATGCAAGGACGGGTGTGCCAAGGAGTCATGGGAGCTCACGTATGGTCCTTCAAGTGGTGCAGCCACTACAGCAGATTAACTGGTAAAACTCAATGGTGGGAAGGAAGCATAAAAGAACTTTTCTGTTTTTTTATATTACAGTTCTCTCTACCAAATTAATAGAACATATAAAGTGTTACAGCAATCATCATCATCATCAGCCTGACTACGTCCACTGCAGGACAAAGGCATCTCCTATGTTCTGCCCGTTAACTCGGTCTTGTGGTTGCTGCTGCCAATTTATACCAGCAAACTTCTTAATCTCATCTGCCCACCTAACCCTCTTGCCTTCTCTAGGAATTCAGTTAGTTACCCTTAATGACCAGCAATTCTCCTGTCTACGCGCTACATGCCCGGCCCATGTCCATTTCCTCTTCTTGATTTCAACTATTATATCCTTAACCCCCGTTTATTCCCTAATCCACTCTGCTCTCTTGTCTCTTAAGGTTACACCTACGATTTTTCTTTCCATTGCTCGGTGCGTCGTCCTCAATTTAGGCTGAACCTTCTTTGTAAGTCTCCCGTTTTCTGCTCGGTAGCTAAGTACCGGCAACATGCAGCTGTTATATACCTTCCTCTTGAGGGATAGTGGCAATCTACCAGTAATGATTTGAGAGTGCTTGCCAAATGTGCTCCACCCCATTTTTATTCTTCTAGTTACTACAATCTCATGGTTCGGCTCTGCGGTTATTACCTGCCCTAAGTAGACATAGTCTTTTAGAACTTCAAGTGCACTATTACCTATCTCGAAGCGCTGCTCTTTTCCGAAGTTGTTGTACATTACTTTCGTTTTCTGCAGATTATTTTAAGACCCACCTTTCTGCTCTCCTTGTCTAACTCCGTAATCATGAGTTGCAATTCGTCCCCTGAGTTACTCAGCAATGCAATGTCATTGGCAAAGCACAGGTTACTAAGGTACTCTCCATAAACTCTTATCCCTAATTGTTCCCATTCTAGGCCTCTGAAAACCTCCTGTAAGCACGGTAAATAGCATTAGGGAGATTGTATCTCCCTGCATTACACCCTTTTTGATTGGTATTTTGTTGCTTTCTTTATGAAGCACTATGATAGCAGTCGATTCCCTTTAGATTACCTCCAGGATGTTTGTATATGCTTCATCGACACCCTGATTCCACAGTGTCTGCACGACTGCTGATATTTCTACTGAATCAAATGCCTTCTCGTAATCTATGAAGGCTATGTATAGTGGTTGGTTATATTCTGAGCATTTCTCTTTTACCTGATTGATAGTATGAATGTGGTCGATTGTTGAGTAGCTTGTTCGAAATCCTGCTTGTTGCTTTGGTTGATTGAATTCTAATGTTTTCTTAACTCTGTTAGCAATTACTTTTGTAAATAGCTTGTATACTACGGAGAGCAAACTGATCGGCCTGTAATTTTTCAAGTCCTTGTCATCTCCTTTCTTACGTATTAAGATGATGTTAGCATTCTTCCAAGTCTATGGTACTCTTCCCGTCAGGAGACACATCGTAAACAGGGTGGCTAGTTTTCCTAACACAATCTGTCTTCCATCTTTCAGCAGATCTGATGTTACCTGATCCTCACCAGCAGCTTTGCCTCTTTGCATGCTCTCCAAGGCTTTTCTGACTTCTTCTATCATTACTGGTGGGGTGTCATTTGAGTTACTGCTAGTTCTTATAGCATTAAGGGGGGGCGCGGCTTTGGGATCGCGAAAAATGGCAAAAAAATCGATTTTTTGAAACTCAAATTTTCAGTTTCTGGAACCCTTTTTCTGTCTGGTTCCAAAATATCTACACTGAAAACCGCGCAGAAGTGCTTCGGAAAATTCGTTTCACCCACCTAGGTAGCAAAAATTTTTCTGGAAATGGCGAGAAAACGGCGATTTTAAAAAAATAGCTTAGCGATGCTTGGGCCGGGAGCCGGCTTCTTGGGCTCATCGGAAAGAGAATTTCTCCGTGTTTAACTTTCCCGCCTCAGCTAGCTCCTCCCTTTAACAACAATCGAGCAAAAAGCAAATGTTTGAAGGTCGTTTTGAGGCCCTTGATTGACCGTGGCCGCCGTGTTGCCTCAGCTCGCCTCGCCATAGGCCCGATGCTCGCTCCAGGAGATCGTCGTCTGCTGCTTGTGCGTCGCGAGGACATGGCTCTCGAAAATCGCCACTTCGTGATGTGTTCACGGCTTGATAATCACTTAGGATATAACTGCGCTTTAGTTACGAGCAGTAAGGGGATGCGCGATCAGGTTACCACAAGCGTCAGCGCGGTCTACGAGCGCCGCGCGTCATTGGAGTCGTCCTTAGCCTTAACTCCGCCGACTGCGGGCAGGAACGACGCGCTAGCGCATTCGTTGCGACGTGCTTCTTCGCAAACAACGAAGCTGTAAGCGGCGGCACGATCTGATTACTACGAGTGGCCGCACCGAATGCACGATCAGATTACTACAAGCGGGCATGTGGTGGTCTACGAGTGCGGCGCGTCATCGCAGTCGGCTTTAGGCCTAACTCCGCTGACAGCGAGACTGCGGGCAGTAACGACGCGCAAGCGCACTCTTGGTGACGTGCTTCTTCGCAAGGAATGTACCACATCACTCGCTAGCTCCTCTGAATATTGTACGGGCATTTTACGCATCGGCAGCGGAAAACACAGTCAAGCTCGTCACCCCCCCCCCCCCCCCCCCCCCTTCACTGCCAAGGATTGCTCGGAACAGCGGCTAGCAGATTCGCGCGTCGTCATTCGAAAATGCGATGCCAAGTGCAGTGCGCGCCGATTTTTTGTCTTCGTAGTTACACATTTCACGCATCGTCATCGAACGCCGCCGGCAAGTGCATTACGCGCCGGCTGCACTGTCCACGCGGCCGCGCACCCCACGGTCATATGGAGTGCTGTCAGTAAGCTTTTGTGATGCGATTCAGACGTGCTTGGAGCCGTGCTTGATATCGCCACGAACGTCAATGAATGTTCCGAGGTTAATGAATTGCTGTAGATTAGAGTTTCCGCGACCGGCTGTAAGATGATGCGTTTCACGGCTAGAGCGGCGAAAGAGCATGTGTGAATCAGGGGCACGAATTTTTATATGCCCGTTTCGTGTGATTAATTATACTCCTGGAAATTCCCGTGCCACCAGTCTTCTGCCCATAACTTTGTTATTTAGAAAGAAGGCATAGGCCGTCATGGTGTGATCCATTTTTCTGATGCAATAAACTTCTCTCCAAATAAAAAAAAGTTCAGTGAATATTTGTAATCAAGTACTTAATTACGCTAATTACAACTTCAGCACAAAAAAGTGTGTAATAATTTCAGTATATGGTTTTATTCAATTACAATCTTTTCTGTCATGCCTATCACACCACTCCTTCATACAAAAAACTTGGTTTGAAATCCACACTTGTTCTTCGTAACTCATGAAAAGGAGTAAATCATGAAAAGAAGTCAAATATCACAAGACAAACCTGAGATCACAATTTTTAGGTGTCTTAGAGACGTAAAAAAAAGTTGAAACTTAAAACGCAGCTTTCTCAATACATTTTTTTTTTTTTTTTTACATTATGGTCAGCCCCTCCACATGGTTCAATGAAGAAATAATTTGTTTCTCGTAAAGTATTCGTGGTATCGCTTCAAAATTTCTATGGAAGCACTGTGAGGTTATTCTTAGTGTCTGTGCCAATTTTCATTAATATCCAACAAGAAAGAAAAAAGTTCATTGAAAAAAGCCTGTCGAAAACTTCGACAGGCTTTTTCTCACAAGTGTGTTTTGGACATTGTGCATTGCTCGTGGAAAGAGTAGCACGAGAATGACTGGACCGATTTTGATTCTGTTTTTTTTCCCTGAATCCCTGAACACTGCTTGTGGGTACAGCAATCTTCAATTTCTGTTTTGTGGCCCTGTTATTTTTCTAGACGATGATTTGTCCGTGCCATTGTTTCTGACAATGTGTGTCGGCAGCCATGATGATCTTTAAAAAAAAAGAGAGAACTTATTAAAAAATTCCGAGAGTCTCATACCCTGTAGCTTTCTTTTGAGTAAAGTTCAACACCATTCCCAGCTTCCTGGCATGTTTTGTTGCAGCGCTAGGCTTTCCACGAGCAGACCATGTAATTGGATCGTGTAGCATTA